CTTCTCAAACCCATTTATATAAGTGTTGGGTCTCCTGTCAGTTTTATGAGGGGGGTGAGGAGAAGATCTGTAGACTTGTATGGTTTGGTTGCTCAGGTTTTGCCCATTCTCTTGCAGGCGGGTAGGATCCTTCAGAGCGGTGGAACAAGAAGTCATTCTGCAGTTACACACTGAGAATGGCAGCTGGGGTGGCTTTATCCGGGGTGCTGGTGAGTGTGTGGACCGGGAAGGAGGAGGTGGACTTGTAGAGGAAAGAATACACCACACTACAGTCCACCACACGATTCCGGTAGCCTTACCTTCTGGAATAAAAGAAACATCTGGCCATCCCCGCACCCTCCAGCACTGCGCATCCTCCTCAGGTCCTCACCAGGTCCCCATCCCGGCTACTTGTGTCCCTTCTTCTGGGAGGTGATGCTGCCCCCCTGAAAATTGCCACCCTAGGTAAATGCCTTGTTTGCCTCATGGTAAGTATGCCGCTAAGTAAAGCAAGCTTGCTATACTCACTGTGGAACCTGAGGGTTAATCCTTCACATTGTGTAAAAAGGCTTTTTGATCCTGTCTTCTCTGATCTCTCCTTCTTCTACTGTCCCCAATCCATTTGCTGATAGTAGAGAGCTCTGGGAGTCACTCTGCACATGCTCAGTTTAGTGTGTATTGCTAAAGAGTTTTTTTCCCCTTTGGGAGAGAGCATGTGATCAACACAGAACAAATCAGCACTGTCCAGAAAGAGGGTTGGGAGATATGCAGCCTCATATGACAGTCAGAGCAGGCTGAAAACTCCTCCTACAAGCTTTAACCAGTGCTCAGCTGGACACTGATAGAAGTCACAAGACTGCTCTAACTGCTGATGAGAAAAGGTATTTGGCAGTTTATATTTACTAAAATAAATGCATTTCCAATTTCTTGGTACAGTGGGAGACCAGATATAGTGAATGCAGGGTCCTGGGTTTAGTAACACTTTAACCATTATTAAAGTCATTGCTCCTGCCAAACAGGATCTTTAATTTTTTTTTTTTTAGAAAATGGACATTACTGATTTCTAAGATTCATCTTCAATAGGGTTTGGATTCGGCATCATACTGTTTGGCAAACCCACCCTGAAATGAACCCCAGGTACAGTATGTTAAGCTCATCACTAATTACTCCCCAGTGCCTTCAGCTACAGAGGTCAGCGAGGCCTTGTTTTAAAGTGCATTTAGTCTAGGTTCACACCTATGCATTTTCTGTTGCATTTTTAAGAAATGCACAGCAGTCCATGTAACATGATTTCCTATGGGACATGTTCAAATCGCTTTGTTTTCACCTGGTGCTTTTTTTGAAAGGGTCAGGGACTTTTTTTGAACGCAAATCGTTGCATTTTTGGTTCAATATCCTTCAATGGAGATGCAGCAGAAATGCATGTAGTTTTGCCTTTTAATCTGCCCAGCAACAAGTTGGAAAAAAACGCACAAAACATGTCAAAAATGCACCACAAAAAGCACTGCTGAAACCGATCAAATGCAAACTGCATAGGTGTGAACCTAGCCTTGCTGTTTTGTTTTTTTTTTTTTCTTCAAGGATTTTATTCAAGTTTTTAAGAAGACACATATAAACAGATCAGTAGACAGTGATATAAAAAAATGTACATTCTGGCAAATGGGATCCTGTTCCCTCCAAGAAATGGGGTTTAGGGCTTGAACGGTTCCCTGTCCAGAGGAGTTTGGCTGTATGATGGAATTGTTAGTGGACCATTCTCTCCTCTTTTCCGCTAATACAGTGAATTAAGTTAAATTAGCTGTGTAAAAATTAACAGTATCCTGAATTATTGTAAAACAATATAAACCAAAATCAGTAACAACATTTTTACACTCCTAACCTGGAGTGTCAGTCTAGATGAGGAAACGGGATATTTCAATACATGCTAGGTCCTTGTCATGGGCATAGAGGATGCTTCTCACACGCCTACTGGTTTTGGGTGAGGGTGTTGTCAAGATGACATTAGAGTCGGACAGTCAGTGAGCATTAAGAGAAAAAGAGGGGAGGGAAAGAGAGAGGAGAGAGGGAGATAAAAAGGGGAGGGGAAGAAGGTATGGGAAAGAGGGGGAGGTAAGGGGGTTCCCCCCTCTACTATTTTTATTTGTTAGTCTGAGTGGAACGTGGGCATGATGGGTATTGTGCATAGTCTGGCAAATCCACATACTGGTGCCAGCACACCCACGTGGAAGTATAATGTGTGGGTGGTCTCCCTGACTTGATGGACAAGTTCTTCCATTTGTGCAATTCTGTCAATATGGCGAAGCCAATCTGTTATCATCAAGGGATTTGGGATGATAATAAGCAAATAATATAGAGTAGATATCTGAGATTAAATGTCTCTGTGATTCTTTATGCATGCATAATGCCTCGAAGGGTGTGCATTGTCGAGACCACTCAGGGAGGTGAGAGGGGTGGCCTAGACAGTACCTCAGTTGCTCATAATGCCAGAAGGCAACGATTGGCCTATCATGCGAGAAGCTAGTGAAGCTTGGGTTAAAAAGACAAAGATGTGTTCAACTTGGATATGTGGGTGTGGCCATTTATCAGACAGGAACGTTTCTGACATGCCAGGTGGAAAAGCTGGGTTATGCCGAATAGGTGTTGGAGGACCCGAAGATGAAGAGAGGCCATACTTTCGACAGGTCATATGAAAAATCTGTAGAGTATGGCCAAATAGAGGGTGTGCTTTATAATCCCGAGGTGTATGGCATTGAGCTATCCATGGTAGTTGGTGGAGAGGTAATGATAGAAGATCATGTTCAAGCCTGACCCAAGCTTTAACAGAGTGTACGTTTCAGTCAACTATTCTGGCTAGGTGGCAAGCCCATTGATATTGAGTAATATTCGGGAGGCCTACCCCTCCCTTAAGTTTGATGATTATGAGTCTATCATAGCTCATTCTCAGGTGTTTCGACCCCCAAATAAAGTATGTTCATGCTTGCCGGTATGAGGAGATGAAGGCAGCGGGAAGTCTAATTGGGATTGTCTGCATAACATATAGTATTCTAGGTAGAATATTCATTTTAATAATGGCTGCTCTCCCAAGCCAAGAAAAAAAGCCTGAAGTCCACTTCTATAGATCTTGTTTAATATTGTTAAGAATTGGTAAGTAGTTTAGGGTGTAAAGGTCTAGTAGCCTTGAAGGTAATTGAATTCCAAGGTACGTAATTAGAATGCACTGGTGCATTTACTGTTTATTAGGAACATGTGAATCAAAACCTAATTAAGCAGTTGTAACAGCTGAAGGTTTTATACCTTCATGCATTCTATGCAAGAAGGTAAAAAACCTTCTGTGTGTTGCTCCCTACACAGCCCCCCCCCCCCCCCCATACTCACCTGAATGCCCTCTCTATCCAGTGCTGTGCAAGTGAGCTTCAGCTCTTCAGGGTCTCTCTATCCGCATTGGCTGAAAACATAGCAGCAGAAGCCATTGGCTCCCACTGCTGCCAATCACAGCCAGTCTGGAGAGAGCGGGGGCAGGGCTGAGTCGGGCTCTGTGGGTCTCATAGACACACAGAGCAGGCTGAGGAGCAAACACATAACAGTGCTCCCATAGCAAGTGGCTTGCTATGGGGCATTGACAGTGGGGAGGGGCCTTTGCACAGAGCAGGTAAGCATGACACGTTTGTTAATTTTTTTAAACAAAATTTAGCCTTTAATGTAATTTTAAACCTACTTTCGCCCACATATTAAGCTCTATGTAAACTAGTCTGTGATGAAAAAGCGTGTATACTTACCTAATATAAGGATCCAGTCCAGTCAAATGATCTCCCCCCAGCAGCCACTTTGAGGGGAGAAGAGATAGCAGGGACAACAGCTGCAGAGCCTGGGCAGTAACATCACCCATAGACTTAGCGCTCATGTACACTGCAGCTGATAAACTCATGTTTAGGAGCTGTTCCGCTTTTTTTCAGCAGCCCTTGAACTCACCCTAATGTTTTCCTATGTGTCCATGTACACATCGTCGTTTACAGGCAGTTGAGTTTACAGTCATTTTTTTGAATGCAGAAAACTTGGATTCAGCGGTAGATTTTATCAGCATTTCAAACCGCTTGTAAACGCGGCTAAACACGTTTATAGGCGTTTTAAATTTGTTTTTAACTCTTCCATTTCCAGACGCTGTCCAGAGCCTTTTTTCATCATGAAAAATGCATGCAAGGCGTTTTCCCGGTACTTAAATGGACTTAGCAAACCATACTTTGAGGTTTTGCATGAAAAAAAAATATGTTAGACACTGCTGCAATAATTTCTGCACAGAAATGATCTGGAACACATCCAAACACCACAAGAAAAAAAGACAGCTAATCTCAACAAATACTGCTCTCTGCTTCTGCTCTCTCTTTCTCTCACAATGTCTGAAATAGTTAATTTTGTACTGTTTTTCAGTGCATTCTGGGCATTTTGGAAGGTCTCCTGAGGTTATCTTTAAAAAACGCTTCTAAACATAAACGCACATAAACGCAGTATGCAAACGTGGCTAAACAGACGGTTTTTAACCTACGTTTTCCAGCAGTCAGTTTCCATCGTTCAGAAGTGTCCCGTGTACATGGGGCCTTACTATGGGGCATCCATTGTCCACTTTCCCTTCTCTATATTGAAGCTGGTGCTGAGACCCGCTTTGATGCTTAACTTGATGTTCTGAATCCTACCCATCCAAGCCAATTCTTTTGCATGACATCAACTCATACAACTGTCATATCTTTTTTGATCATTGTTTTATACTTTAATGTTAATCAATATGTCCTTTTCTGGGGAGATTGTTTGTTTTTTGTTTTTGTTATTGCTGTTTTTTGTCTGCTCTCTCAACAGTATGAATGAATGTAAAAAATATATTAAATAAAAAAAGCCAGAAGGAACATTCTCTTCTATTTACAAATTCAACTGGAAATGTGTCTAGGTACACCCTCAACATTTATTCATGTGAGCTAGATTTATAGCATGAGAGCAAGATTTAAATAAAGTTTCATACTAGCAATACTTACTTTTCAACTTTGTTTCAAAATAATGCATCCACTGATGTGTGGTTGAGTCCCCAAACATATAGAAGAACTTTCCCTTCATGCAAGCATTTAGTTGTTCTACTTCATGGTAGGTCTGCATCTTGCAAGTCTTTGGGTACCAGATATTGTTCATAACATATCCACTGGGGTATTCTAATTTCTCTCCAGTTTTGCATTTCTCTTTTGTCTCTAAACTTGAATCTGGAAAAAAATATAATATAAGTATTTGCATTAATAATATCACCATTACTTTTGAATTGCATCACAGACCATTTGATAATTTTTTTTTTATCTGAACAAAAAGTGACTTGAAAAAATCATGGATATATCAGGCATTTATATGTAACAAGTAGATGTAATAGTTTGCAAAAGCATCAGATGACTGACAAGGAAACTATAACAATTTTTTTTTGAGGGGGGGGGGGGGTTTACATATGTTTTACCATGTATGTATAATAATTTGCTTTATGAATAATATGTATTACAGAGTGAACACATGAAGCAGGATTCCCAGAGAGAACTCTGGATAAGCTGTTTTCTTTCAGACATTATTTATAATAATTTGTGTGATGGACTGCCTGACACCCCAACTGGGTGTCTCTGCCATACTAGAGCTTCTTCCACTCTGGAACCAAAATATAGCAATTTTAGTCCAAACCTAACTAATTACCAGACAGGACCAGCATATTTGGTTAAGACTTTAGAACGCAAATTTACTCCAAGCATCAGACAAGGTGTTAGAGTAAAACAGGACTGACTTTATTAAGAAACCACAGAATATTTATACACAAAAGACCTTCAGGTATGACACACATAAGGAGAAAATTAAATCGCATAAACAAACACAAACTCAAAAGAACAATGGGTTCATTTCTGGCACCTAACAGTCTGGACTCTGGAGGTGTTGAAGGCTGGCCATACAATATACAATTTTCTTGTACATTTTTTCTTTAGATTTACCAAAACCATATAATAGGAGGTCATACCTGAACACTTTACATTTTTAGGCAATCAGGCAGGCCATTGTACTACATAGTTGAAGATAAATCTAAAGGAAATTGAACAAGAAAATTGTATAATATATGGTCAGCTTAAGTGAAGTTAGAGATGATCACCTAGAGTCAGCCAGGTTAATCCCATTATTCAAAACAGGAATAGGTCCCAAAATTAACTACTTCATGCATGATTCACACACTATATCGATAATGGCACAGAGTGACTTAAACATAATGCCAGGGGAAAGCAGTAGAAATGTTCTTTGTAACCTCAAAAGGTCCGAGGGGTGTCTTCATAGTCCCGTGTCCATAGTCAGTGGGAAGGTATAGTCAGTATATGACCAACATGGACCAGCAACATACTGGTACGTCGCTGGACTTTGAGTGGTTATACCAGGATGATGCCTACAGGCATCATCCTGGTATCACTTTTTTACCTCATTAAAGTCTAGTGTCTTAGAAGGCAACTTGTATATCGACCAACCAGCTATATCTACCACCACCATAGACTTCAAGGCCCCCAGCAGCAAGTACGGGGACAATTTCCTAAAAAATACCCTTGATACAACCAACTTACTCCTGAACCATTATTGCCATAAATTTACTAGCGTAGGTACACCCATACCTGTGATGGGCCCAACCACCCATTCTCTAAAATTTTTAAACCGTCATTGCCTTCCAAGACCCTGAGGCCCCTGCCAACTGCTATGATAAACAGAAACCCATAAAACAAGCGAACCCCCAAAAACACAGGAACACAACCAAGCAATCACCCATACAGTAAACTGCCCGAGAACCACCACCAAAAACGTCGGAAAGGACAAAAGAAAGCAAACACAGCACTGCCAAACAAGTCATCCAGGAGGGAGGGCAGGAGAAACTTGTTCTACGCTGTTCCAGCTCTGACTGACTCCGACCACTTTGGCACCGCCCAACTTTGTCCACCCGAGCCACCTGGCCCCTCTTAAGCCACACTCGAGTCCCCACCAATCAGCTAACACTTTTCCCCTTCTTAAACAAAACCTCCTCTATTAACCCTACGTTGCTCCGGCCTATCCTGCCAACCTAGTCATGTCAGGCCTTCTGCCCATGCTGCTCATCTAGCTCCAGGCCTTATTCTATACATGTAAATGGTTATATTTATTTGCCAATTCTCTCTAGCACTCTCTAGAATTGTTAAATACAGTATATGTCCTATGCTCCTAAGCTCCAGCTAGAGACTATAATGTTGTATTTTACTACTGGTCATAATAAAAGAACATTTATTCAGAAAAGAAAATAGCCCTAAAAACGCTGGATGACTAGCCTCTGATTGCCTCTCTGTTAATAGCCATCTGAAGTGAGAAGGAAAGAGTGGAATGGGTCACTTACTAAGAAGTAGTTTCCCCACCTGTCAAGATCAAACCTTCCTTGAAATTTGGATGGGATTGGTGATACAGATAGATAAACATGGTTTTTAGCACAGGCGTCAGACTACAATCCCTGTCCTGGACCTTGTGAGATGCTCCTTGGAGTCTTGTTGTAGTGCATCACATTGAATTGAGAATAATGTAAATGGTACTGATTTTTGATTCTAGTACAGTCAATGTATTCTGGATAGCATGGGCAGTTAATGATTGGTATCCCTTAGTGTCTTAAATGATTTTTGGGACATGCATTCAGAGATGTTTAGTGCAGAAACGATACACTTCAGATGGCCTTTTTTCATACAAACATGATTAGGGAAAATATTTTTGTTAAATTATATTGTATCTGTTAACCATTTGACCTACAGAAGTTTTTTACCCCCTTCATGACCACAGCATTTTTTTGCTATTCAGCACTGTGCTACTTTAACTGGCAATTGCTCACACAAATAGAGCTTTCTTTTGGCAGTATTTGATCACCACTGGGTTTTTTTATTTTTGCTATTGTAGCACCCTCTAGGTTTACCTAGATAAGGATTTGGGTTTTTTTTGCAAGTTAAAGGCTTGAAGCCTGGGATGGGTCAGCCTGGGAATGAGATCAACTTAGGACCGGCTAGGAGGCTCTACGGGTCAGGGCTTCTGGAGCCCTACCACCCTTCCAGAAACTGCTGGAATTTTATGGAAGAAGAGCAGAGAAGGAGAGTAGGCCCAGAATTGCATGTTTGAGAGAGCTTGGCCAATCCCCGGGCAGGAGGCCAGATACGGTGGCTAAGAGTAACCCTAAATATAGCAGAGCCTGTGCAGCAGAGGAGTTGGGTGGAAGATGGACTGAGAGAAGGTGCTGGAGTGAAGCTTGGGAGGGGGCCCCAGGGAGGGAGAGCCTACCTCCAGGTTGGTTACTGGATAGAAGAATCTCCACTGTGCTAAAGTCTCCTAGGAAGGACAACCAGTCAGCTGGAAAGAAACCGGCCCCAGTGTAAAGTCTGAAAGCAGCTATAACCCATCAAGCTGACAGGAGAGTGTGAGTACTTCTACATCCCCTGGGCCAGATAAAAGGGAGAGGGCGGTCAGGTGCAAGAACCAACTAGTTCTATTCTGGGACTGCTTAACTGCACATCTTGGAATCCCTTGCCCAGGGATACCCTCAGGACAGCTGGGTGAAAGAGGAAGGGTTCAATTGGAGTCTGAGGAGGTATACCACTAAGTTACTCTACAGTTCATTGGGCATACCATATATCCCTAGACCCCATCCAAGTTGTTAATCCCTTAATAAAAACAAGCTCAAGGACTGTTTTACTGTCTCAGAGAGAAAATGTGGAAAATGCACATTGCCTGGCTGTGCAGAGCTTAAGGGGGACCCAGTTAAATCCGGCGGCCCTCAAGGCGGTAAAACTACTGAATTAAAAAACAAACAAACACATTTTTAGAACACTTCAATTTTTTTTTAATTTTTGCAAACAAACAATATTTCTTCATAAATTTAGGTAAAAAATGTAGACTGCTGGATTTCTTTGGTAAAAAAAATAACTCAGATCAGTGTGTATTATTTTGTCTGTGTGAAAGTTATAGAGTCTACAAGCTATGGTATATACAGTGTATTTGAAATTTGATCAGTCCTGATGTATTGACGGCCTATTTCTTGAGGCCCTAAAATGCCAGGACAGTATATATAACACCTCCCCCAATGACCCCTTTTTAGAAACTAGACAGTCCAAGGTATTTTAATGTTGTAAAAGAAACCTCTGCGCTTTAAGATATGCTGCCCACCTCCTAGTAAAGCTACCAACACTCAGAAGACTTGTAATACTAAGCCTAAAATAACAAACAGTAAATAATAAATAATAGTGTGGCTCTAAATCCAAAAACTAAAATAGTGAAGAAAATTGTGTTTGTGAGAAAATCTTAATATCTCATAACTAATCTATAGTGTCATATAGTGCTATCACAACAAATATATATTCTCAAAAAACATTAAATAAATGATATAAGTCCAAAGCATCCTCCAAAAGTGCAGTGCTGAAGAATCTTCACAAAAAAAACATCTGGTGACAGTGAAAAGTGAAGGAAAAGTCAGCAGCTTACTGGATACCATAGACCATTGCTAATAAAACTAACGTTCACACAGCGCTTTAGGGGTTGTTTTGGTCCTCTTGCCAAAGGACCATCAATACTGCAAACTCAGGATCCAAAAGTGTGACGAACCGTCCCTTTGTGATAGCATTTTGCCCTTTCTGTTTCAATTTTCTCTCCTTTGTAAAGCTGTATATGTTAGCAGCTGGTATGAAGACAGACATTCTACACTGTTTGTTTAGGGAAATGTGACCTTGTAGTTTTTCATTTCTATAGAGTTCATACTGTATTGTTGGGTTGTAGGGTTTTTGTTGTGGGTGGGGAAAACCAGGTGCCAGGCTGTCTGGTGGGGGTGAAGCTGTATATACTGAGCTGTGTTTAATAAAGACTGATTCATTTCACCCTTCAGGAAGTTCTGACTCGTCGTTTGGCATAGCAGGGAAGGATTAGTTTTGAGCTCTAATACCTGCCTTGACAGACCGCTGGAAGACTTGCAGGACAAGGGGGCCATTGGATGAGACGCATCGCTCCGCACGAGGAAGCCCAGGCGGAACGGTTCCACCACATTAGTGCCTATTCATATCTATGCGTCACATGCTTTCTGTGTTTTCATTTTGAAGGGGCTGAAATTGCACCACACTAAAAGTAGTGCATGGATTATTTTATTTATATAAGGTACTTATATTGCACCGTCAACTTACACAGCACTTTACATATATATATATTGTACATTCACATCAGTCCCTAACCCTCAAGGGGCGTACAATCTAAAGGCCCTAACCTACATTCATA